GATTGCGCGGAAGCAGGTTGTTGCCCCTCAGTTATCTGACACTGCTCTGAGAAAATGCCTCCCGGTAGGGTAGAGATGCAACCCAGACTCCTTTCCCAGGCCCAGGGAGGGAGGGAAAAGGACATTGCTACAGAGGAAGCTTTGGGGGCGACCCTGGGCCGGACCCAGACTCCAGACCTTGGGTGACCTGGCTTTGCGGCTGGTGTCACCAGGTGCGGAGCATGTTCCAAGTCTTCACCCAAACCCGTGCTGCTCTGCAAAGCAAGATGCAGAGGAGCGGCTGGAGCCCTTGAAATTATTGCAGAGGATGCTGTCAGGGTTTTCTTACAGTCAGGATGCTACTTCTGTCCTAGTTACAGAACTTCAGACACTGGAAGCAGAAATAGCAAAGACCTGGCTGGAATATCAAGGACTCCAGTACTGCGTCCCTGGTGGCGGTGCTGGGTGTTTGCGCTTAGTACCGACTGCGCTCTTCGTCCTGCCTGCTGAGGGAGCTTCCCGGGTGCTGAAGGGCAAGAGGACTCAGGCGCACAAAGGCGGGCAGGGCTGGGGCTGGGTGGATGCCAGGCATAGGCATTTCAGTTTGGCCCGAGGACAGACTGTGTTCTGCTCTAAAAACATCTGAAGTATACAGAAACTGCCCTTAGGACTTTCAACCAAGAAAACTACTTTCAGCTGTAAGCCGAGGGTGTTCCTGATCATAGGGAAGAGGAAAACCCTTTTGAAAGGCACCGTGAGGTTACAGTAATGGGCTTCCTTACACCTTAGGCGTCAGAGATTTGCAGTTCAAAGCCCCATGCTTTGCCCTGACTTCATTCCCTCGTGGCACTGCCAGAACTGGCCAGCTGAAAGCCCTAGAGGAAATAGGTGCTTTTAATTTCAGAATAGCTGACGGTTACTTTTAAACCAGACCTTGATGAAGATACAAGTGGAGATGTTCTTTTCTGCAGCATCCTTCAGGCATGGAGGGGCCTGTCGTCCTCCTACAGAGGATTCAGAAACAGACGAGGGCAGGAGCACTCGGAGCTGCTGTGTGCGATGCGTGTGGCAGAGTCAGGCTGTCTGTCCGCTGCTGATGGGCTAGAGGGAAGCGCCTGTGTGCTTTGTGAGCTGTGTGCTCCACACCCGTGGGCGTCCTGTGCTGCTCTAGTGGGCTGTGGGAAGCAGAACTCCGTAGTGCTGGCCGTGGTGGAGGTTGGGTAGAGTCTTGGGGGACCTACCTTTAGCTCAGGTCCTTGGTTGTGTTACGTAATTCCTGCTGGTAAATATTTGAGAATTTCCAACTCGGCCAGTGTGAAGTTCGACCAGGAACGGTTTTCCTCTTGTGAACCCCGATACCCATCATCAGCCCAGGCCCCTTACCATACCTCCTGATGTTTTAATTTCTCCATTTGTTAAGTAAATAGCAGAATGAAGCACCCATTCCCCACTGCTGCTAGTGAAACCTGAGGTATAGATTCTGGGAAAATAAGCGCAGTGCCTTGATGTTGTCATTAGTTTCACAAATATTTGTTGAAGGGCTGGGGTATAGCTCAGTGGTATAAACGCCTGCCTGGCAAGCGCAAGGTCCTGAGTTCAATTCCCGGTACAGAAAAACAAACAAACCCCAAATAGTTGTTGAGCACCTCCTGTGTGGGAGCTTCCGTGTGGAGACTGTTGACATGGGCGTCAGTCCCCACCCTCGGAAGGCTTACTGAGCAGCACAGAACTCTCCCATTAACAATGGAGTAACATGAGTCACGGCAGGGTGAGGCGAGAGGAGGAACCGACTTGAGGCTGCTGGCACTCCGGGAGCAGCTGTGAAGAAGAGACCCCTCCCTGTGCTCTGCAGGGTGGGGCTTGGAGAGCTGCGCGGGGAGCGCAGGGCACTGCGGGTGAAAGAATAAGATAATGGTGGTGGGCAGCATTTCTCGTGCGGACTGGTGCATGGTGTGGGCGCGGAGCTGGGCGTCCCCGCACTGCCTCCCACAGCCTGGGGATGGCACACACCGGTTCCGTCTGAGTGCAGAACTGAGCTGGGAGAGACCGACACCACCGTCCGGGCCACACACTCAGCGTGCAGAGGCCCCGCCTGCGGCTCTCGCTTGCCTCCCAGGCGGTCAGGATAGCTGTGTTTGGAGCGTGCAGAGGTTCAGAGGGGGAATGGGCACGTAGGGGTAGGGCGTGGCTCCCTGAACCCCTCGCTAGGCCCTGGGGCTTCCTTCTGGTGACTCAGGCATGCTTCTGAGGGGTTTTAGACACAGGCTGTGGGTTGCAAGGCGCAGCGGCCCCGTTGGAGGTGTCGGGCAGTGGCAGCGGTGCTGCAGGGAGCCAGGCGCAGACCTGAGAGTCCCCACTGCGGAGAGCAGCATGAGCTCCGGCTTCCCGCGTGCCTGGCCAGACCTGCAGCCTGGCCTCGGGTTCCTTCCATGCCCTCCAGAGACGGCGTTTTAACTGGGGCTTTTTCCTCCTCGTTCAGCAGGGGCAGTGGGGAAGGGCAGGTCTACAGTCCATTAGTGTAAAGCATCAAGGGGTCCACCTGGACTCTCCCCTGCTGCGGAGCGCAGGCCAAGTTGCCCAAGCCCGTGCCGCTGCTGAGCTCTCAAGAGCCCCCGCCCCGTGCCTGTCTGTGGGGTCAAGATGCCCGCGGAGTTACGAGGGCAGGTTTGCCCCCCGCTTCCCCAGAGAGTAGCTTGAATTCGCCACCCCTGCCAAGGTGGGCACTCCCACACAGTCTTCTGCCTTCGTCGTGCCTGTTACACACCAGCCGTCCTGTCATAAGCTGGTACAAAGCAAAGCCAGCCCAGGACACCACACACCAAGTGGTAGCTGGAAAAACAGTGACGGCAGAGCCGAGAAGAAAGTTTTGGTTGTTACTTTGAAGCAGGGTCTTGCTGTATAGTCAGGCTGGCCTGAACTCAGTATTTAGCCCAGGTTGGCCTCAAACTTGTGGTGATCCTCCTGCCTCAGCCTTCCAGGTGCTGGAATTACAGGTGTGGGCCACCATACCAGGCGGAAATATTTTTAAGATAGTAGAAATTTCAAAAGATAGATCATGTTAGTACATTTTTAACTACACAGATTTGTTTTTCATGCAAACTGTGTTAGCCTTTGAAAAGATCAACAAGAAGTGTCGTTTCCCCTTCTTACCCTCAGACAACAAAAGAAACCCATCTTTGTGCTCCCGGGTGAAGGGGTGGCCACGGGCACTGCCCCGAGGGCACCTTCTCCAGCCTCTTCCAGGTCCACTTTCCACTTGGGCTTTGTCTTGACTCAAGACTTCTGCTAGGGCTGCGTGGAGAAGGGCGCAGGGCTGACAGGGCGCCTGCCTGCTGCCTGGTGAGGGTCCGTGGGTTCCGTAGGTGCTGGCACAGGGAGCCGGCGTTAGAGACCGTTCAGCGCTCCCCTCCGCAGGGCGCGTGACGAGGCCTGCAGGCGCTGGCCGGCCTCCTCCGCCCGCCCCGCTCTTGCCCGCCTCCTCACCACTGGTTCATCGCACACAGTGCTTCCCACCTAGTCTGAGAGCACCCAAACCTTGCGCTGCTCCGAGCCGCAAAAACCCTGCTCGCGCTGTACGGCACTTTCACGTGTAAAGGGGACACAGCCGGAGGGGAGCAGGAAGGAGGGAAGCGGGCACCAAGCCCGGTGTGGGTGTGGGCGCGGCCGTGACCGCACAGCAGGTGCTGTTCCCGGGCTGGGCTGGGGGCAGGGCAGCAGCCTCCCTGCGCACACAGCGCGCCTGCCTCAGCTTCGGTGTCACGGCCGGCGTCTCGGATCCTGTGCCGGTCACCTCTTCCCCAGAGCAGCACTGTGGCGGCCCTTCCTCTCTTGAAGTTTTGTGAAGCCCCGGGGTCAAGGTCCTAGTTTCCCACTGGAATTACCTGGAGACTTGTAAGAGCCCCTTGAGGTTCTGCTCCGTGGTCGGGGTGCGGCACTGGTGATGTCTGTCACGCTCCCAGGGTGACCCCGCTGTGCGGCAGGCTGGGAGCTGCGTCCCTAGCCCTGGCGGCATCCGTCGGAATCCCGTGAGGGTGTCCTGCCGGCTCCGTGCCTGGGCCCTTCCCGTCCGCGCACTCCTGGGTAGGGCCGGACTCCGCTGCGCTCCTGGGTAGTATCGTATCAGCAGTGCTGTTGGGAACTGCTCTGAAAACGGCAGCACTAGATTCTGAAGAGAGCTGTGAGCTGCAGTTCACACAGAACAGCGTCACACGGGTTAAGAGCGTGGCGGCTGGCCAGCGTGGGGATGCAGGGGGCAGTCACAGTAAACGCGCCTAGAGTGCCGTGCGTCGCAGCCACTCCCTCCCCCGCTGTGCCCAGGAGGGAGCAGGCCCTCCGCTCACCAGGGCTGGCCGTGGGCAGTGACGCGGGGCCTGCACCCCGGTTCCTGGGGCCTCTCCTACCACGGTGCCTGCTCCGCCACAGGTGGCCTCTGATGCCTGGGCCCCATTTGCTGCTCTGCTGAGGCCTGGTGCGCAGCTCCCGCGGTGATGCAGAAATGGAGAGCGGAGGAAGGGGAGGTTGCCCCAGTCACCCAGGGCCGCATCACTGGCTGTGTGAGTGTGAGCCCCAGACCGGCAGCCTCAGCACCGCCTGAGGCTTGTTAGAGCCCTGCCGGGCCAGTTGGCGAGAAGTGCCCCTGCCAGTGCATTGTCCTTCAGGTGACACTTTCGAATTTAAGGAGCCCTGGTTTAGGGAAGCAGCAGAGGCTGCCGGGACCTCTGGGTCCCAGGCGTAGGACCAGGGAGCAACGCACTGAAGATGCCACAGAGATGGCAGGTAGAGGAGCTTCTCCACGGGCAGCAGCCCAGGGGGCTGCCAGGCTCCTTCCACTGCCAGCAGGGCAGCCTTTGAGAAGTCAGACTCAGGCACTGGACACCTCCTCTCGATGTTTCTTAGGGTTGTGTGTTTCTTAGACAACACGCTCAGCCCAGCCCAAAGGAAGATTTCAGACTCCGAAACTAGTGAAGCTGAGTCGCGTAGGGCTTCGTGGGGTCCTCAGCCTGTTTCTGCTCCTTTTCCAGCTGGTGGCAGGAGTATGGGAAGGCAGATACAACTTCTTCTGCCAGGGCACGCGCAGCGCCGGGGACTCGGATATGAAGGTACTGTCTTTCTTAGTAGCATTTTTGTGCTTTCTAGTAGAGGAATTTATACAAGAGATAAAATGGACCCTAGTCTCTCTACCCAGATACTCCCTACTGACATTTTAGAAACGATAAACAATATATACGCACAGTGTGAAAACTTGAATTTGAAAGGTATAAAATGAGAGCTAGAGCCTCTCTGTAAACGTAACTCCTGTTAACACTGATGGAGGAAATGGTGTGCACCCGCCAGGTTCTACTGGACAGGAATGAGTTCGTACGGGTAGTGCCTCACATCCCTTACATCGCTCCGTGGGTAGTGGTGACAGCGCGAACCCGGCTTCCCACCGAGGTGTTGCTTTGTTTTTAAATAAGAGCTCGCAGCTCAAGCTCAGTGTGGGCCGTGCCTCCCCCCGGCTCCTGCTCGACACACTACCGGGCAGGACCCAGACGCTGGCAGATTCCCCGTCCTTTCTGTGTCTTAGGTCCCCGCCCCACACCAAGCCCTGAAAGCAGAGCTGCTTCCCGGTAGTTTCTCTCACCGTCAAGTCTGCCGGTGACGAGGCCGTGAGCCCTGAGCTCCACGTTCCCATTGGTGCTGGAGAGTGTCCCGCGTGTTCTTTGGCTGAGGCCACTGTCAGAGAGACCAGGGCCTGCAGCACCTAGAGGGTGCTGGGGGCCGCAGGGCTTGGGCGTCTCTGGGTTGACTCTACATTCTGGAATGTCAGTGAGACACACCAGAAGCAACGTGAGAAATACGCTGAGGATGAACCAAGTCTTCTGCCCCTTTTCCTGTAGATTATCCATGTCCTCTGGTGGTACTACTTCTCCAAGCTCATCGAATTCATGGACACCTTCTTCTTCATCTTGCGCAAGAACAACTACCAGATCACCGTCCTCCATGTCTACCACCACGCCTCCATGTTCAACATCTGGTGGTTCGTGATGAACTGGGTCCCCTGCGGCCACTGTAAGTGTTGTCCAGGGGGTGTCTGGGGGCGGTGTGAACAGGGCTGGTGCAAGGTGACCCAGAAATGTGCTGTTCGTGTAAATTTCTGGATCCAGCGTTGGAGCTTTGTCTTAGTTACTTTTCTCTCGTTGCTGAGACAAAATCTTGACACTCAAAGGATGAAAGGTTTTTTAAGCTCATGATCAGTCCACACTCGGCTCGCTCCAAGGCAGAGTGGCACATGGCAGAGGGGCAACTGTTCATGACAGCAGAAGACAGCAAAAGCAACAAGAGCAAAAGGGGAGAACAAGGCTGTGTGCCTCTTTTATCTTATCCAGGCTGCTGGGATTCGGGCGGTGCCAGTCCAGTCCGTGGTCTGATCCAGCAATCACCCACCCTTAATCCCAGCATTGCACTACAAATCAGTGACAAACTCTAGATTCAACTGCCTCCGAAAAGGCCACATCTAAAGGTTGATGAGGCTCGGGGGAGAGCGGGAGAGAGAAACCATGACAAGCTTTGTGTCTGAGTTGGTCTTAATGCTAGCTTATGAGGCGTGTGTGCACAGAGTGTGTTTTTAGTAAATGGCCTGCACTGGAGGGACAGGTGAGGCAGATGCCCGCCTGAGCCGCGTTTAGAAATAAGAGCACCTTGTGCATCACAGCGGTGGCTTCCTTGTCCTGTCTGGGTGGAAGGCATCTGCCTGCCGGGCTGACCAGAGAGGTACGGTCGCACCGTGCAGAGCGCACCAGGAGCTCGGCTGGTGGTGAGGTACAGTCCTGGCTGCGTGGTGCATCGGGAGGTGGCCAGAGCAGAAGCACTGTGCTCACCAGGGCGACTTCCGTGACATGCCCTGAGTCCCATGTCGGCTGTCTGAGGTTGGCAAGCTTGTGATAATAGTCTCGTAACTTTCAGAAATTAAGTTCTCACCTCCAAGTTCAACTTGGGAATTTCAACAAGTGGCTGGGTCACATTTTTTGAAGAATTTGACTGAGAACCTTTGGTCTGTTCATAGATGTTTCTTGTCTTCAGATCGCACTGCCCTTGATTCACTCCGCCCACCAAGATTCCTGGAACTGCGGTTTAGAGCTAGAAGGGACTTCCCAAGTCCAGCTCTGCCAGGTGTAGGAAGCCGAGGCCTCGTGGGCTGGCGGCGCTGCCCCCCTGTCTAGTGTTTCCCCACGTGCCTTGTCACTGTGGAGTAACTGCCCAGCTCCCATAGAGAGCCCCTCTTCCCACTTGAAGGGCACTTAGTGGGCGGCCAGCTCCAGCTGGCCCCTGAGAACCTGGACCAGAGAATGGGCATAGCTTGTCCTGGGTCCCAGGGTCGGTTTCTGCCCACCGGGAGCAGCAGCGCATTCCTGCTCTCAGCGTCGTGCACCCCCAGCCGCACGTGAGAGGCAGTAGCTTTGCCTCGTCGTCCAGTGTCCGGGGCAGTGTGAGAAACGGCCTGCGGGAGGTGCGAGTCGTGTGGTGAGACGGCGCTGCCCTCCCTGCGGGGCTGCGTCTGCCTCTGTCGTGAGTGAAGACCAAGGCTGAGCGCTGCGGTCCCGGGAGACAGTGAGCCGGCGACGCCACAGTAGCACAGCTGGGGCGGTGGGCACAGGAGTTGGGCAGCTGCCTGTGGGGCTGCAGGAGCCTGAAAGCCAAGCCTGTGCTGCCAGGCAGGTACCTAAAATCGTGGCCCTCTGCCAGATGCCCGCCTGGCCGCTCCCGCATGGAGGATGAGTCCATTGCACGTCCAGGAGTCAGTGCTGCCCGGCGCTGTCCGAGGGTGTCTTTCTCACCCAGAAGGCAGCTGGGATTTCTCCGTGCCTGTGGTGTGTGAAGTGCTGATGCAGCTGCCTTCCACGTTCTCTGTCCCTGCAGCTTACTTTGGTGCCACGCTTAACAGCTTCATCCACGTCCTCATGTACTCGTACTATGGCCTGTCGTCCGTCCCGTCCATGCGCCCGTACCTCTGGTGGAAGAAGTACATCACTCAGGGGCAGCTGGTGAGTGACCTGCCCCTGCGCGCTGCCGTGCCCCGATTTGGACGTACCTATTCTGGTTTGTTTAGTGTTTAATAGGATCTCACGTATCCCTTCCCCACCTTTTCTCGTTGGATGCAGTTTCACTTCTTGAAATAGCAGATCAGGGAGTGCTCTTTCAGCCAGTGGAGAAACTGCCTGTGGCGCGTGGCTGGTGGGGTTGTAGGAGGCGGGCTGGAAACCCCCGCCTCCTTCCTCCGTTTGACGTGTGCGCAGGGTGCGTGTCTAACCGCAGCCCAGAGCCCAGGCTGGGGCCGGCCCGCTCCGGGAGTGTCGGGTGGAGCTGCGGGCTCTCGGCTGCACAGAGCTTGTTGTGAGGTTTGCGGACAGGTGCACTGACGCTCCGCCCCTCACAGCGGCGCCTGGTGTGAGCGCCGCTCCCCACCTGCAGGGAGGCCAGCAGCTGCTCGCACGTGATGGCAGTTTCACACCAACTACCTACCTGTCTCCCTGCTTCCTTCTCTTCTTCACAGTATCAAGAGATTGAATGCACCATCTTCACCCTTAGCTGCATCCTTAGCACCCCATCCACCCCACACACACACTTTTAAATTCCTTCTCAGACAGGGTCTTGCTGAATTGTCCAGGTTGGGCCAGAAGCTGTGATCCTCCTGCCTCAGCCTCCCAGATGCCTCCCTTACCACTGTTTCTTAGCCTTCGCTCATTGCCAGTAGCCAGTAGGTTACGGACCCGCAGTTCTCTGGGGCCTTTCCTCATGGGCTTTTTCCTAACACCGCTAAGGACCCTGACATTTCCCAGTGCTCGCCATGTGCGGCACTTCTGCCAAATGAGTGGCTTTGCAGTGTCGCTGTGACAGCCGTGGGAGTCTGACTTCCCCACCGTGCAGTGAGGACCTGAGTCAGAGCCCCCGCCAGCTGACCCAGAGCGGGGGACGTCAAGCCCACAGCCCCAGCTTGGCCTTCTTGACCCAGTTTTCCAAACAGACCAAGCTGCTTCAAGTCCTGCAAGTCAGTATTTAAAAATAAATTGTTTTAATTAATCTGAGAAAATCTTGAGAGCTCCTGTGTGCTTGTCATGTCAGTAGCACCTCCGCCGGCCGCTGCCAGCCCTGGCTCCGCCCCCACCGTGACAGGGACGATGGTCCTGCAGCCTCCCTGCTGCACCTGACGGGGGCGACAGGGAGGTCAGTCGCGTCACACAGCTGCGGCCGTGGCCCACACGGACGTGAGAGACCAGGCCAGCCCAGTTCCTCTCCATGAGGCTCTGCACTTGGAGGTAGCAGACTGCCCAGTCTGTCTGGGCTTGTTTTAAACTCCAAGCCGAAGAGAGGGACAGGAGGAAGGCACGGTCTACCTGGGAATGTTGGAAACTGCCAGACCTCTGGCAGGCAGATGCACTTCTGTGGTTCTTCCCGGAGAGGCGTCCACCAGTAGCCAGGTGCCGCCTGCACACGTCCTCCCTGTGTCTCTGAGCAGTCCGCCTGCTTTCAAGGCTCACTCCTCAGGAACCATCCCTGGACACAGCGCTGCTGTTAGCCGAGAGGGGCTGCAGTCCGTTCATCACCTTCACCGAAGCAGAGGCCGCGGGGATAAGGGTCAGGGCGAAGGTCCGTCCGGTCACGTGTCCCCCAGCGACACCAGCAGGCCCCTCGGCACACACACCCTTCGCCCTTGGCTCTTTTAAAGAAGACTTCAGAGAGAGCCCTCGAGTCTCTGCTGTGTCCTTGAGCTGTGGAGAGGAGGCCGAAGCGGCTTGGAGGGTGCCGGGGCCCACGGGAGGGCGGGCCGAGGGTGCACGTCGTGGGGCAGCTCGTCCGTGAGGTGGCGCCTGTTCCCACAGCAGGGGGAAGTGCACTCGGTCTCAGTCCGTTGCTGTCGCCTCCCTCAGGTCCAGTTCGTGCTGACAATCGTCCAGACCACCTGCGGGGTCATCTGGCCGTGCTCGTTCCCGCTGGGCTGGCTGTACTTCCAGATTGGCTACATGGTCTCCCTCATCGTTCTCTTCACGAACTTCTACAACGAGGCGAGTGCCCGCCACGGGCTTCGGCGCTGGGGCCTTTCCCGCAGAGGCGCTCGTCCTCCGCCCCCGGGGACGTGTTCTGCGGGGGCTGCGTGGGGGCAGAGGGGGCAGGAGTCACGCTGGAAATGCAAAGTGTTTACCAGGGCGGATGCCATGCTGCTTCCCTCCAACCTGGGCCCCACACGAGAGGGGCTTTTCAGTCAGAAATCTCTACCGGGCTACCCGCAACACCGCAGGCGGTGAGAGTTCGGGAAAGTCGCGTCGCGGCCATCGGCAGAAACCTGCCTTTCTTCCCAGTTCTCTTACTCTGCCCTGCGCAGGGTTGTGGGTGCCTCTCATTCCCGCGAGGAGGTGACGCGGGTTTCGCTCGCAGGAAGGCAGATTTGGGGCAGCCCTGTCTCCTGAAGCAGAGCCTCTGGTCCCGGGAGACACGCAGCCCTGCTTTTGTGGTTTAGCAGCTTTGCTGTGCACTGCTTTGGGCAGATGGGGGCGATCAGGAGCGGGAGCAGAGGCCGGGAGAGCCCGAGGGTGGAGCAGCCTCCTAGGGCTCAGGCCCTCCTCCGCGCGTGCACTGCGCCAGCTCCCTGAGCTCACGTTAGTTCTGCGGCCCGGTGGGGCACACGCTGGCCGCGGGGAGGTTAGGAGTCGGCCTTGCCCAGGTGCGGGGAAGGGCTGAGGTAGCCACCGAGGCGGTGGGGAAGTCTGGGAGACAGGCGCGGGCGGGCCCAGGTGCTGGGAGCCGCCGCCTGGAGGAGCGGCGCTGCAGCCCTGGTCGCTGGGCCCGGCCTCCCAGTGCTGACCAGGCCCGGCAGAGGGAAAGCGCGGGCGGGTTTTCTGCGCGTGGATGCTTCGTCTTGGGCTAAGCCTCCGAAAATGGGAGCGAGACCGAAGCCAGGGCCAAGCCGTGTGTTCAAGGTTACTTGACCACACAGCTGTGTTAGTTCTCGGTGAGCTTTGCTTGTGAAAGGAAACCAGACCTGGTGTCACGCGAGCTGCCCTGTGTGCTCAGGCTGCCTCTGCCCTCTGCGTTTCAGACTTACAACAAGAAGGGGGCCTCCCGGTGGAAAGGCCAGCCGAAGGACCACCAGAACGGCTCCGTGGCCGCCGTGAACGGGCACGCCAACAGCTGCTCCCTGGAGAACAGCGTGAAGCCCAGGAAGCAGCGGAAGGACTGAGCGGCGCCGTCGGACCCTCCACGCGCCCTGTGACCGCAAGCACAGCGCGCTGTGCCCGACGCTCGCCAGCTGCTGCTGTGCTAGTCCGGCCTGCAATAGTGTGATTCGTGTAGGGCTCCTTCATCTGTCCAACCCCTCGGGTACGTACGCCCGTCACCCACGTAGGCTAAGATCTCACATTTCTGGGCTCTCACCGACCCCCGCGCTAGACCGTGGAAAGGGAGTATTGTAGTATACGACACTGCTGTTGCCTTATTAGTTATAACATGATAGGTGCTGAATTGTGATTCACAATTTTAAAACACTGTAATCCAAACTTTTTTTTTTAACTGTAGATCATGCATGTGATTGTAAATGTAAATTTGTACAATGTTGTTACAGTAGAGAAACACACATGCCTTAAAATTTAAAAAGCAGGGCCCAAAGCTTATTAGTTTAAATTAGGACATGTTTCAAGTTTGTATTCATTTGTAATAGCTCTGTTTAGAAAAATCAAAGACGGAGATTTATTGGGGCTGGGGATTTAGCTCAGTGGCACAGCGCCTGCCCCGCAAGCGCAAGGTCGTGAGTTCGATTCCCGGTACTGGAAAAAAAAAAAAAAAACGGAGATTTATGAAATTAGTGTGTGACACATAACTTCAAGAGACTTGTCGATGTGAAGTCAGAAACGGCACCTTCAGTTTTGTAATATTGGCTTCAGTCAAGCAGGCTCAGACCTAGTGGGGCAGTCAGTTTAACTTTTTAACAGATCTTATTTTTTTATTTTGAGTGCCATGATTAATAGTGTAAAAGGGGGGGCTCTAAAACGGTCTTGATGAAACTTAAATATATATTCTTGTCCTCAAGATTTTAGAAAGAGTGTAGATAAATAGGCCATTTTTAATTTCTGAAGTGCTAAGTGTTTTTATACAGGAAACAAGTCCATTTTCCTTTTCACCAGTGTGAGAGAAAATGTATCCTTTTAAAGAGAGATGAAAAGGTTTTTAAAAACTAAAGAGAGATGAGTACATATTTACCATTTGACTAGAGTCCTGTACCCTAGCCGTGGAGAGCCACCGGCTAAGGGCCCACGTCTGAATTAGTTCCTGTACTGCTATCTGTTTTGACATAAACTTCCTTCTAAATGTGCCTAGTTTATTAAAATTTAATAAAGGGGGGAAAAGAACCTTAAAAATTTAAGGTAAAATTAAACAGGTAACTATAGCATAAGAGAACTTGGAAATTGGATAGTGATAGAGAACTTGTGTAATGGAAATCTAATAGTACCTGTAATTATTTTCTGCTTAGAACTAAAGATTTGTTGAAAACAGCTTGTTTAAAAATAATAGATTGCTTATCACAAAATCATGTCTCACACTCAAGGCAAGTGGTCAGATAAGTAAGGACTATTACGTGTGTCATTTTATTCAAGTGTTGAAGTTTAGCCTCTTAATACCTTCTCCCTTGGGAAACAGAATTCCCTGAACCACTCATGACATCTAAGAAGATCATTGACAGTGTATAAACTGATTGTGGCTTTGATATTTATGTAAATACCCGTTTACCATGCTTTAATTTTGCACATTCGTATTAAAGAGAACCAGTCGGGTCTCTTACTAGTCTTGTGGGTTTTCTGTTTGGAAGGAGTCTCAGCATCTGTTTACATGGACCTCACAACTCTGACTGTGTGTAGTGTGCGTCTCTATCCCTGGGTACTAGTTTGCAGATGTCTTTACCTATTTCCATACAGAAATGATAACATTCAGTAGTGTGCCGTCAGAGTGTGCTTAGCTCATGTGGATATACCTATACTGTTAAATGATGTCTAAACATTAATCATTAAAACATTTTTGATTATCAGCGCTTACATTGTGTTTTTTATGTGCCGCTAGTTCTGGAAGGCGGGAGGAAAACAACCCACTCTGACAGCCTGTAGGAATGAGGGTCTGAGTGATTCAGATAGTGTCCTTTTGGCTGGCCACCTCGTCTCGCTGCCTCCCTCTGTCCTTCCCTGAGTGCGTCCCTCTCCCTTCCCCCTGGGCTGGTAGAGTATCTTTCAGCGTGTAGACCATAGTCCACACGTTTTTCTATAAAAAGCCAGCTAGAAAACATTTCAGGCTTTGCAGCCCATGTGGCCTTTGTCAGGTTTCTGGCACAGATAGCCAGCGTAATATAAAAACAGCCTTAGGCAATGTGTGAGTGAGTGGGCAGGGGTGTGTTTCAATAAAACTTTATTAGAAAATGAAATCCTGTGACTTCAGCACACTGGCCTCTGCTTCGGAGGACTGTACTTGAGGTCCATCCTTGGCCCCAAGGCTTCATCACTTCGGCGCCAGACGCACTTCCTGTCCCAGATCCGGGCCTCCTCAGCCTCTCCCAAGCCAGTGAGTTCCCGGCCCACCATGTTTACACAGGAGGCATAGCGTGAGTTCGTCTTCTGCCCCTGTCCTCACACCACACAGTCCCACGTGGGCTTGATCCTTTGGGTGTCTTCATCTGTAAACATCATCTAGAAGGCCACCAGGCACTGCACTGTGTACTGGGAGTATTACCAAAAGGTGCAAGAGGATCTTTCCCAAGTCTAAGACAAATTGAAAAAATGAGACTTAAAGATCAGACCAATAGAAATCAAAGTCACACATTACTGAGAAGGCTTGATCGGTGGAAGAAGACTGTTCTCCAACGGCCCTAGCTGGTACCAGTGGAAGTGAGCTCACGGGGGTGGCACTAGCATGCCAGTGGTGGTTCTGCCGTTGTCCAGTGACGAACCAGTTAGTCACATCCTGGAAAACTCAGCGCTGGAATTTATGCAGGCTCCCCTGCAGTTGCTAGGCCCCATGCTCCTGCACGCTGCCTGTTCAAGGGACGCGTTGACGGATGCAGGAGAGGGATGCTCCTCTTGCCCTGTTGGTATATTTGAGAAGCTCCAGTTCGAGACCACATTGCCTGGCTTGAAATTCTTCCCAAACACGCTGCTTGAACTTTCCCTTTTTTTGACTTACTTCTAGTAGGAGTAAGCATTGGGCCCTACCGTATAGGGTCCCTGACGTCGTTAGGGTCACAGCTCGAGCAGAGTAAACCGTGTGCCGGCTCGTAAGCCCGGGCCAGTGGTTCCCGCGCTGCCTCCTCTCCAGGACCCGCAAGTGTTCATCAGTTGGCCTGTGGCCGTCCTGTGTGAGGAGAGAAGGGAGTTAGTCCAGCGTTTTGTTTTTGCATCGCAAAGCACCAGTCCTTAGGGCTCACAATGTTCACAGTCTACGTTATACATTTTCCAGTTTCACACCGAGTTCCCGGTCTGATCTTTAAGAGTTTGCTTTCTTCCCTGTTGGGAACACAGAGGTGACTATTAGGCTCTGGTCTTCTGGTCTTTGTCACTTCTGCAGGGCTCCGACAGCAGCTCTGCACTCATCCGCGGCAGTTTCCGTGAGAACTGACACCCACACTATGCCCTCGCCTGCCCCGGACGTCAGCCTAACCGCACTTTTCTCTGCACGCTCAATTTGGAGGTGCTGGCTTTGATGGAGAAATAGGAACGAAACTGGTTGCCATGGTTGTCTTCTGGTCTTCACCACTGTAGTAGTGTCTAGCCGTGAGTTCTTACTCCAGACGTAGATTTAAAACCTATGTTTGGAAAAAATAGCTGCGTTTGAGCTGAGCCTGGTGGTAAGTACCTGTAATCCCAGCTCCTTGGGAGGCTGAGGCAGGAGGATGGTGAGCTCAAGTCCAGGCTTGGCAGCATAGCCTGAGCCTGTTTCACAGAGGAGGCAGGGGGACCTTCAGCTCCATGCTACCGTGCTTGCTTAGCATGTAAGAGGCACGGGTCAGCGCTGTGAACCCTTCTTGACTTCCCTTCTGAGCTTCGTTTCTCCCCTGCTGTGTTTAAGGGAGAATTTCCCAGGCCGTAGTTTGCACAGGAATTTGGACCTGGCTCTCGTGTGAGGTCGTGGAAGTTTTCCAGGGCAAGTTGCAGGAACAAGCAGCGAGGCTCAGTGAACTGAGAACTGGTGCTCACGGAGATCCCGTTGTGTGGCTCACCGTCGTCGTTCCCTTGTCAGGGCACCTGGAAACGCGGTTACTCTTCCATGTGTTGCCGCTCATGCTGCCAACAGGGCTTTGCAGATGCTTGGTGGAGAGTGCTGGGTGCACTGAGCAAACGGGGATCTTAGGAAATGCCGGATGTGGTGCTTACGCCTGTGATCCCATCTCTCAGGAGGCTGAGGCCGGAGCATCACATCTAGTTCGGCCTGGACTACAAAGTGAGTTCAAGCCCAGCCTGCATTGCATAGTGAGACCCTGTCTCAAAAACAAAACCTGACTTCAGTGCCCAGGAAGCAGCTGCCAGCTTGGGGTAAGTGTGTACCCAGAAAGCCTGGAGCACAGGATGGTTTGTGGCAGGTGCCGTGAGAGTCACAGAAGGCAGCCTGCTGTGCAGGCAGGGAGGGCCCTCCGCAAGGCTGAGATTACCTGTGCGCCATGGGGCTTTTAACTGGAGCCTTCAGCCCTGTCTGAGAGCAGTGGCCCAAGTACAGGAAGCAGCATTAGCGAATATGCAGAGGGCCGAGGCAGACTGCCCTGAGCTGCTGAGCATGTGGGTGAAACGCCTGTTGAGAGCACGAAGCGGAGAGAGTGGATTTGTCTCCGTGTCCTGGCGCGTGCATGGTGTGGACTCTGTGGCCCCTGGGCCCGCCGTGCAGCCCGTGGCTGCTCTGTGCCACTCAACACCCTCCGGGAGGAGCGAGGAGGAGCGGCCGTGAGCGCCAAGAGCTGCTTCTCAGCTCTCCTGTCAGGGCCGGAAGTGTGCCCCCTGCAGAGCTGGCCTTTGAAGTCAGCCCCTGCGGCTCCTGCAGGGATGGCTGGGGGTCTCTCTTAAACAAGCCACTTCCATGCTGACCGCTGAACAAAGCACTGAAGCAGCTATAGCAGCGCGCTGCTGGGCTCTGTGTTTAAGTCGCAGGCCGCAGCCTGGATTTCCCTTGACTGATGAAGTGGACAGCGCGTTAACCAGGCTGGCACTTCGGCAAGGTCCCCACGGATAGCATGTCATGGAGCATCAGCTCGGGTGCACCCTGGGGTCACTGCCCTCTCCACCCTGCAGGCAGGCTGTGTGGCTGGGCCGATCAGGACCCCCTACCCACCTGCTCCTGAGCGGCTCTTGCAGGGTCTTGCGCAGAGGCGGCTGCAGCTGTAGGAGCGCTGGGGTATTTTAAGACCAAGACCAAAGGTGTCACCATGCTTACACGGCTCTGGACAGCTGTTTTCTTCACGGCCTTCCCAGTCCCCGACAGACACTGGCTTGGGGGTGCTCTGGGAGGGATCTCGGGCACCATGCACCCTGAGGAGGGGCTCCAAGGCACTTCCCACGACTGGGGCTGGCAGCCACCCTCCCCAAACCCCCCACAAGGACAGCATCGCCCTGGAGGTCACTGGCCCCCTACTGCAAAGCCGGTGCCCGTGACAGGCACCCATGAGGGAAAGTGCCACAGACAGCGGCCCTCACTGCAGCTCCTGCAGGCCATCCCAAGCTGCGCTGACCGTGTGCCTGCTGGACACTTCCTCCCGGCAGGAGAGTGGACTTCCTGAGCCACATCCAGGTGGCTTCCGTGGAGATTTTACACTTTTTAAATTTTGAGATATACCATAAATGGATGCAACCAAGTTACAGTACCGCACTGCAGAGAACCAACAGTAATTCCTCCCTGCCCTCCCCCAGCCTGCAGCGACTGCTGCTCTGTCTGTTCTTCGGAAACCCACTTTGAAGTTGACCTCCCGTTTTCTCTGTTGTTGCAAATGACAGGGTCTTATTTCATAGCGTAGTAATATTCCACCGTGTCTGTGAAGCACATTTCCTTCACCCAGTCACCTGTCAACGGACACCTTACTATTCCATGTCCTCGAGGCCGTAAATATGCGCATGAAAGTACCCAGCATCCTGACTCCAGTGCCTGTAGATGAATTTTCAGGGGTGGGATTCCCGGGTCACTGGATAGTTCTTTTGGATTTTAGAGGAATCTACACGTTGTTTCCCTTAATGCCTGCGCTAATTTACTTGCACACCAGCAGTGTATGAGAGCTGTACTTCTGTCCATCCTTGCCAGCATTTATAATTTTTGCTTTTTTTTTTTTACACTGAACTACATTCCTGGCCCTTTTTAGATTTTATGTATTTTGAGGCAGGTCTCACAGAGTTGGCCAGGCTGGGCTGGAACTTGCATCCCCCAGAGTGCTGGCATTACAGATGCGCACTACCGCAGCTGACTCGGTTTTCTTTTGTGATAATAGCCATCTTAACTGGAATGAGGTGCTGTCTCATTGCGGTTTTGACTCACATTGCCCTGACTGGTGATACTGAGGATTCGGGGCGAGGGGCTGTGTGTGTGTCTTTTGCTGGGTTTCTGAGACAGTCTTGCTCTATAGCCCAGGCTGGCCTCAAGTTCATGACCCTCCTGTGTTAGCTTTCTGAGTACTGGTGATCTTCAGAGAAATTAAAAAAAAAAAAAATGCAGGCATGCAGCACAACATCCCACCAGAGCACCTTTAATATACTGAGTGGCCACTCATTCATGTTTTTGAGAAGTACGTATTTAGTACTTTAGCCTATTTTTTACTGGATTACTTACGTATTGGTGCTCAATCTTGTGAGTTCCTTACACACACAATTTACAAATGAGTTCTGTTCCAGGAGAACTTTCAAAAGTCGGATCCATTGGTAAGTGATTTGTTGGTTAAGTCTGGCAAAGTGAGTCTTACATACCTTTGACACGAATATGCAGTGTAAAGCATAAAAAATCCAAACACACATACACAAATACTGTAAACAAACTTTTTACCTTGGCAGGTGGTACTGTACTTTCACAGTTTGTTG